ATATATATATATGCAATTGTTAATTTTTTTGGCAGAAATTATTTTCTTTTCAGACAATAATAGCTACTTGGTATGATTGGGAGAGGAAAACAAAAACTGACTGTTTCATATGGCTCAGAGGAAAGTCAGCTGTGTTTATCCCTCCGGTTATCCCTCCATCTAATTTTCCTCACAAGTTGAAGACAAGACTCTTGGGGAAATACTACAATAATGGGAATACTACCTCCTTCACACTTTCTGTTTCAGTCTCATTCTCCATTCAATTTCTCTATTTATTTGCCACTGTTTGTGTGTGTGTGTATGTGCCTCGTTATACCTCTGGAGTAGTATTTACTCCAAAAGGGTGTGTTGACAGCTGTCTTCTCTCTTGTAGCTGCAGACTCTATTGGCAGTCTCTCACAGCAAGGGCCCTTACATTTACCACAAACTAAAACACTATCAACGGCTTTAAACAGCACCTGCTGCTTTCAGCTTATCTTTGAAGCCCAAACATGTTGAAGTGCATCAACAAGGCAACAGTGGCATCCTTCAAGTACAAGTCATTAATGCAGCTCAGCACATCAAAAAAAAATCCCTCATTTAAAATCCCTTCACTTAGTCTTAGATGCAAACACTATAGGCAAAGATGGATGTTAAAGCTATGAGATGTTGCTGCATGTGTTTGTTGTAGCTGTCAAATGAATGATAAATGACTYTTAATACACAGATGCAGAATTAGGTATTTGCCTCTGAGACAAAAAAGCAACTCTTTGCACCAGCAGAATATTCATTACATGCTGTGTTTACCTGGAGGCAAGCAGGCGCTCTACCATGTGGTTTGTTGACGTCTACAGCTACAAGTTGCCATCCCCCAGCGGCATCTTCATGGAACATCTGTGGCACAGGGGCAGCACACACACATATGCGCACACACACAAACAAACAAACAAAAAAAAACCTGCAGGTCATTCAAAGAACTGGCAAAAACACAAAAAAACACATAAATGCTTTTGGCTAAATTATCAAGAAGCATCTGCGACCAAAAAATAAATAAATAAAGCTCCCGGCATTAAATACAAATCCATGTCCACACAAACAGAAATACAGCTTCTAAATGTAGCATTCATGTCTGAAGGCTTAACATTAGAAATAACACCACCAGAAAAATGAATTAAACAAGATAGCTGGTTTATTTACTAAAGAGAAAGTTCAAACAMTAAGTGGGGTTCTGTGGAAAGCTTAGGAACAACAATATATTACCTGTTGTAGATAATGAAGCTGTTAAAATGGCCTCAGTTTGGCAAAATTATGTTTTAATCAGACAGGACTGATTAGCTTCTTGCATGGCTAGTTTGCAAAGTAGAGCTTGTAGATCTAGCCATTATTAATGCCAGGCTGACATTGCACATAAGAAGCTCTTCTTAATATTTTGCCTGATTAAATAAAGGTTAAATAAAAAAAATAAAAAATAAAAATTAGCTTATCAATACAATCAAAAAGAAGATTTTGCTGACTTAAAGCAACTCTAGTCTTTAACATTTTAAAGGGCCATTATTGTGCATTTCTCCAGCATGTAGTTCAATTCTATACCAGAACAAAATAACTGTCACTTTCAGTTGTTATGAAAATGCTGTTTATATGTATAAATTTGAAATTGCATCACAGCCGTTTCTAAACACCTTGAAATTGGCCTCTGCCTCTTTAAGAACCTCCTACTGATTCTGTCATGCCCATTTCTGCATGTCATCACAACAGCTTCATGTCGTTTACAACCTGTAGCAGTGGCGCCAGAT